GAGCTTGTGGTAACCGGTAAACTAAAGGCGACTAACATTACCAACGACATTCTTGAAATGACAATTGCTGCAAATTCCGTCGATGTTGCTATAGAATTTCCACTTACAGTTGATACAGAGGTTAGACAATATTTTATCATACCAAATTATCAAATAGGTCTACATACAAATATAACTTTATAATAAGGCGTGCATGTGATGGAAACACTCTTTGAGAGCAAATAATGCTAAAATCAAATTTAATATACAGTGAATCAATGAACAATAGGCAATCTGTATGTTAATTTATGTTTTTTGTTGTTATTTTAGAAACCACCCGAAGTACTCCTTAAAAAATATGTAATTGATGATTTTGCTGAGCGTCTATGGGCGTATTTGTCTATTAAAGACCTGTTACGGCGTCGTGGTATCAGTAATAGCGGCGCTGAAAAAGAAGAATTGAAACAGCAGGCCCTTGAACTATCTCTTGAGTATCACTTCGTCACTCCACTCACGTCACTGATTGTAGTTAAACCAGAAGAGGATAAACCAGAATATATTGCATCGAATGAAGAGGAACAGAAAGAAGAGGACGACGTTCAGTCAGGTAAAACAAACTTTGCGAAGCGTTAGGATATTTGTCACTCTGCATGTTATATTTGAACTGTGCTGGTAGCGAAACATATAAGTCAGGCCATTTTATGTTCATTTCTTTTTGTCTTGTGGGGGGGGGGGTCACCCACATTAATTCTTTTCTGTTTTCATTACCGTTCAGTTTATCATCAGGAATAAGAAATATTGAATCCCAACGCGTTGTAAAACATTTTGAAATTTTCCCACCAGCCGAAGACCTTTACAGAGACTCTGGAAATGCGTTGTACACGCAAATCCAGCACAATGCAGCACTACATATACAGTGTTTAATAAGGACATGATGGAACATCTTAGGTTACCTGTAGCTTTTCAACGAATAAAGTCCTAAAAAAGTCCCGTCGGTGGCATTTTATTGCCCAATAGGACTTTACTTTTTGAAAAGCTACAGGGTAGCCTACGATGTTCCATCATGTCCTTTAGTATTAAACACTTTATATGTACCTTTGATAATTTATATCATATTTATTCAGCAGTGTTAACGGCTAATTTCCTTCAATAT